CTCCACAAGTATTTAGATTCAACAACACTGGTGTGTTAAAATATGCTGCAAAGATTTGAAAAATGTTTACAAAGCCTACAAATTGGTGATAAAAAAATAATAGTATAGTCCAGGGAATATAAGCAGTCCAGTTCAAAATACAGGCCCAGTTCAATTACACCTGAGGGCTCAGAGGAAAACATAGAAAGGCCATGTTTCCATGCTCCAGGCTTCTCCTTGGTGGGTAACACTGTAATTTAACACCTATAGACCAGGAGAGTTTATCTGGATGCCCTGACACCACAAAAGTCTAGACCAAGAAAGTCATTTTCTTCTCCTTCATATCTATATCCCACCTGGAAGACAAAAGTTTTCTTTCTAATGGTTCCCATTTACTAAGAGTTTACTATGCATCAGGCACTAAACATTTTATAAATATTATCTTATTGATATTTGCAACTTCCTTGAGAAATTGATATCATAATCCCATTTTACTGATGAAGGAACCAAAATCCATAGTAGTTAATCACTTTGTTTTGGTTCTAAGAGAGAGAAAATGAGAGAACAAGAGTAAGACGGAGGTCATGGGAAAATTTAGGGGAAATAATGACCTACAAAGTGCTTTAGATGCCTAGAAATAAGATCTTGGTATAGGATGGAACTAGCTGATTATTATTTCTGAATATTTGGTCTATTCTAATCTCAAATCCAATTATCTATGTTAAATGTATTATTATAATACATGTATTATTTTCTATGTTACATGAATTATTGGTTTCCATTTCTGATCAAGATAGAGTAAAGGGACTGTATTTAACTTCTTGCCAAAAACAATTAAACCAGACAAAATACATAATGCAATAGTTTTCAGATATTGGACATCAGGCAGTATAGTATAGTGACCCCTGAAGAAACAAACAAGCTAATCATGAGCACTCAACTTACTGCCTGAAGAAAGTTTCTAGACTGAAGCACAGGATGGGGAACTCAGGTCATGTCCAACAGTCTCCTTGAGTTGAAAAGATGGAATTTGGAGTCTGAGAAAGCCAAGGCATCCAGGGTTCTCAGGACAGAGGAAGAGAGAAGAGAAAGTGCAGAGAGAGAGCTCTGAAGATCCAAAGCAAGTCCCTCTTGAGTCTCTGGCTGAGTAAAGCACAAGTATGTGAGGAAGCTATCTGAAACCGAGGGAAGAACCACTCAAAGGGAGCAGAGGAGACAATTGCCATTTCCAATATACAAAAGCTGAGACTATTTCACCACCAGCAGACCCATACTATGAAAGATATTAGAGGGAGTCCTTCAGGCAGAAGAAAAAGGATACCAGATAGAAATCTGGATCTATACAAAGCAAGGAAGAGAACAAAAATGGTAAATTTAAAGATTTTTTTTCTTATTTTTAACTTCTTTAAAAGATATTTGACTGTTTAAAGCAAAAATAATATCATATTATGGAAGTATGTAATGTAATATATGACGACAATGATGCAAAAGCTGGGCAAGGGCAATGGAAGTATAAGATTCTTATAGTATATTTGAAAGGTACAATATTACATTAAGGTGGACTGTGACAAGTTAAAGATGTATTATAAATACTAAAGCAACTACTTTTAAAAAGTTATAGCTAAACAGCCAACAAAGGAGATGAAATGGAATCACTAAAAAACAAACAAACTCAATCCAACTCAATCCAAAAGAAGGTAGAAAAAGAAGAAAAAAGTAACAAAGAAAAGATAGAAATAATAGAAAACACATATCTACATGGTACACTTAAACCCAAGTTTATCAATGATCACTTTAAATGTAAATGGTCTAAATATCCCAATTAAAGGAAATATTTTCAGATTGTATAATAAAGCAAGACCCAACTATATGTTACCTACAAGAAATTTACTTTAAATACAAAGACACAAAGAGGTTAAAAATGAAATATATAAAAAGATATATCATGTTAATATCATGAGCAGGTATTTTAATATCAGACAAAGTAGAGTTCAGTGAATAGAATATTACCAGGGACAAAATGGACCATTTTATAATGATAAAGTGGTCAACTCATTAAGAGGACATAGCAATCTTAAAGGTTTTTTATACTTAATAACAAAACTTCCAAGTACATGGAAGCAAAATCTGATAGAACTACAAGAAGAAATAGGCAAATCCATAATTTTAACTGGGAATTTCAACACTCCTTTCCCAATAATTTGTAGAACAAGTAGACAAACAGTAGCACAATACATATTCTTTTCAAATGCACAGAGAACATGTACCACGATAGACCGTAAAACAACTCCCAGTAAATTTAAAAGCATCCAATCTTACAGAGTCTGTTCTATGACTACAATAGAATTAAATTGGAAATCACTAACAGAAAGATATCTGACAAATCCTCAAATACTAAGAAACTAAATAACATGTTCTAAGTAACCCACGAATCAAAGAAGAAATCAAAAGTGAAATTAGAATGTACTTTGAGTTGAACAAAAATTAAAACAGCATGTTAAATCTTGTGTGGTGCAGTTAAAGTAGCGATTTGAGGGAAATTCATAGCATTAAACATCTGTATTAAAAAAGAAGACCTCAAATCAATGACCTCAATGTCCACTTTATGAAACTAGAAACAGAGAAGTAAATTAAATCCAACAAAACCATAAGAAAGGCAATAAATATATTATGACCAGATGACCAATCCTTCATCCTAGCTTCTTGTTCCTTTCTACTTTTATCTTGTTAGAATCAGATTGAGTAGTTCTGAGGGATGAGTATCCTGAAAGATTCTACTCAATTAAGAAGTGAGACATTATTGAGGCAGGGTTTAGGGAGGGCTTACTTTTAGTTTTGGTCTTCAAGGAGATGATCCCTAATGTTCATATTGCTGCTATCTGGCTGACTGCCATTGATAAATGAGTCAATAATTTTCAGGTCAGAGTGGGACTGAATATACCCTTTATTTTGCACTTATTGATTGAGAATTCCTTCTGAGCTCTAACCTGTCAGTTTGCAGCAAGGTAACCACATAGTTCCTTACCTCAGACATTGCCTGCCAGGAATCTCCACTAGAAATTAAAGACTCAACAGTCCACTCTCACTCTCCCACACACTCAGTTTGCTGGCCTGCCTTGTTCTTAGGTTGCTAGAATGATGTTCAGATTATCTTGTGGTTATTCCTTTTACTCTTTTGTCCGACACTTTATTTAGACTCCTCCAATTTCAGGCAATTCTTAAGCCACCTGATCCCCACCAGCATCTTTTTTTCATTATGGCTGATGCCTATAATACCATGACTGCTTTTGCCATTACCTGAGCACTCATGCTTCCTGATCAGGGAGTTTTCTCTTTAGTCCTTGAGTTCCAGGCACTCTCCTCCATCTGAGCCCCACCAACTGATCCTGATTTCTATGGCCATTTTGTTGTCATGAGGAGTCTGAAACCATCAGGAAACACTTTGACTCCCATAAGTGACACCTGTAAAATGGTAGATGAATGCATCTTAGCCCTGAAAAATTATCAAGATTTCAAACATTTTCAGGGTTAGAAAGGATGTTGAAGGTTATCTAAACAGAGTTTAATTTTCATTAACTTATCTCATCATATCTATGATTTTAATCCTCCACACAGAAAATGATAATCACAAAAATTCACATAGCCATGCTAGAAACTGTTCTAAATGGTTTACATTTCTTAAAACATTTAATCCATACAAATTTTTTTAAATTGAGGTAACATTGGTTTATAATATTATATAAATTTCAGGTGTACATCATTATATTTTGACTTCTGTATAGACTACATCGTGTTTACCACCAAAAGTCTAGTTGCCACCCAACACCATACAAATATACCTCTTTACCCCTTTCACTCACCATCTTTCCCTTCTGGCAACTACAATCTGTTCTCCGTATCGATGTTTTGTTTGTTTATCTTCCATCTATGAGTGAAATCATATGTATTTGTCTTTTTCTGTCTGAATTATTTCACTTATCATAATACCCTTAAGGTCCATTCATGTTGTCACAAATGGGAAGATTTCATCTTCTTTATGGCTTAGTAGTATTCCATTGTGTATATATACCACATCTTCTTTATCCATTCATCACTTGATGGGCACCTAGGTTATTTCCAAGTCTTAGCTATTGTGAATAATGTTGCAATGAATGTAGGAGTGCATATATCTTTTCAAATTAGTGTTTTTGTGTTCTCTGGGTAAATACCCAGAAGTGGAATAGCTGGATCATATAGTATTTCTATTGTTATTTTTTTGATGTACCTCCATACTGTTTTCCATAGTGGCTGCACTAGTTTATATTCCCACCAGTAGTGTATGAGGGTTCCCTTTTCTCTATGTCCTCTCCAGTATTTGTTATTTCTTGTCTTTTTAGCAATAGCCGTTCTGATGAATGTGAGCTGATATCTTACTGCGGTTTTGGTTTGCATTTTCCTAATAATTAGTGATGTTGAGCATCTTTTCATGTGCCTGTTGGTCATCTGTATATCTTCCTTGGAAAATGTCTGTTCAGATCCTCTGCCCATTTTTGGTTGTTCTCTGTTTGTTTTTTTGGTTGTTGAGTTGTGTAAGTTCTTTATATATTTTGGATATTAACCCCTTATCAGATATATGATTTGCAAATATCTTCTCCCAGTTGGTAGGCTGTCTTTTTGTTTTGTTGATTGTTTCCTTTGCTATCCAGAAGATTTTTAGTTTTATGTAGTCTCATTTGTTTATTTTTTCTTTTGTTTTCCTTGCCTGAGGAGACATGGTATCCAAAAAGATACTGCAAAACTGTCCAAGAGTGTACTGCCTGTATTTTATTCTAGGAGTTTCGTGGTTTGAGGTCTTACATTCAAGTCTTTAATCCACTTCGAGTTCGTTTTTGTGTATGGTGTGAGATAGCAGTCTACCTTCATTCTTTTGCCTGTGGCTATCCAGTTTTTTCAACACAATTTATTGAAGAGACTTTCCTTTCTCCATTGCATATTCTTGGCTCCTTTGTCGAAAATTAGCTGTCCAAAAATGTGGGTTTATTTCTGGGCAGTTAGTTCTGTTCCACTGATCTGTGTGTCTATTTTTCTGCCATTACCATGCTGTTTTTGTTACTACAGCTTTGTGGTGTTGAAATCAGGGCGTGTGATACTCCAGCTTGTTTTAAACAAATGGAAGTGGAGATGAGCCCTAAGAAGAGTGCCTGCGTCACCTAAGGCTGCAGGAAAATCACAGGCCCTAGAAGTCTTTCAGGAATCCTGAGCTCTGATGAGGTGGAGCCACAGCAGGCGCAGGCATACATGGGTATGCAGAAGTGTGCAGGCATGGGACACGCTGGCTATCCAGGAGAACAAGGAAGCCCAGCATCATGACAGCACCCTTCCCTTTACTACCAGCCTGCTTTTCACTTTCTACTGAGGTCTGGATTTGGATAGGCAGGAACTGCGTGTTCCTACGCCACCACTGTCCATTAAGGTGCCTCAGACACTGGCTAAGAGACTTCACAGCAACTAGATGAAAGGCTGCTATGCCAGCTTCCCTGAAAACATGGGCGAGTGGGGTGGGGTCCCAGCAGGTGCCCCCCACCTCGCACAGCACCCTGCCCATACAACAACTTTATAAAACGGGAACTACGGTGATTTCCATGTTAAAGTTGAGAAAACTGAAGCATAGAGAGAGGAAGTAACTTTCCCAACAGCTAGTGGGTTGTGTCAGGTTCCCAAAACCCACCACCATCTTTCTCCCGACACACACAGACACTGCTGACATCTCTGTTACGGGAGGATGTGAGATTTCCTGGTGGTCAGACTTCTACCTCATTAAACCAGAGCGTGTAAGTAATACTTCAAATCTACCTCCAAACATAGCATCCCCACCCCTGAACGTTCCCGAGTAGGAATGTGAACAAAGGCAACAGGAAATAGGAAATCCAACTTCTGCTACATTTTAACTGAGCGTATCTTTCAAACTTCAGCACCAGTAAACTGGATTGAAGCAGAAGAGACAGGGCCTCATCCAACCAGAACTCTTTCCATCCAAAGCCCAAACTCAAAATTTTGCCACTAGTTGCTGCCCAGTGTTGAAAAGATGAGATGCCCACATGTACTTACCAGAAAAAATAAAAAGACAGAAAGCTAAATGGCTGCCCCTCCTCCTGCCTTATTATAATCTTATTTTAGGAAGGAGAAGAAAAAGTAGGGAAGCACCAGAGAGAGAACACAAGACGGGTAGATGGCAGGACAATTGCTCAAAAAGTTTGAGACTAGTTTGCTGATCCAGCTACGTGGATAGAAGAGGAAGAGAACACCACACTCAACCAGGTGGACTTTTTAACAATCAGATACGTCACTGATTCATCCATGTGACACAATTGGATTGAATCCTGGTGGTGGGAGAGGTGGGTTCATATAGAGGGAGTGAGGAGAGGAAAACTAATTTTTAATTTAAAAGACAAAACAATTTAATTGGATGCAGACTCATTCCTCTACTGCATGGCAAAGGGAAACCCACTGATGTCCAGTGTCTCCTGCAATTCAGGAAAGAGTAAAATGCTAAAAGCCAGGGTTTATTTTTACGTAACAGAGCAGTCAAAGTCATACTCACAGAAAGAATAATCTCTCCTCACAGTAGGATATTCTTTGTTTCTGAGACAAAGCACATCTTGGTCATGTGCATCAGCTTCTTAGTTTACACCTAGTTTTCACGAGCTGTGTACTTACTCTTTGGGAGACCAAAATGCAGTTACCAACCACATCAGTTTCCCTCCAGTTAGAAGACGCTGGGACCCAGCATCAAAGATTGCATGAAAGAGAAAAGATTGCATCAAAGATAAAGCTTTTGTAGCCTCCAGCTAAAACCTGAGGAGTATGAATTTCCAAATACCATGACCCTCATCTAAGTTGTGTAGGCTTAGGCGGAAGGCACTTAGGGAAACAGCAGTAACCACCCCCATAACCACACCATTCCCCTGGCAGCAAGGTGCTGCTGGAGACCTGGCTGGAAAGGCATAGCCTCCATCCTCCCCACACCCCACGATTCCCAACTCAGACCTCTCCCCTAACCTGGATGTGCCATAGGCATTCCAAACTTAGCGTCTCCAAAACTGGACTCATGGTCTTCTAATCCTCTCTTTCATCTTCCCGAACTTGCACTTTCCATAGTCTTCTACTCAGTTAATATAAACCCCATCCTTACAATTGCTCAGGATAAAAATCTTGGAGCAATCTATGTCTCTTCTTTTATGCTCACACTCCACATTTAATCCATCAGAAAATCCTGTTCAATCTACCTTTAGTATATATTCAGAAATCACCACCTCCAATATTACCATTGTGGTACAAGGTGCTATCATCTCATCTAGGTCGTTGCAATAGCTTCCTGACTGGACTCCCTGCTTTCTCACTTTAGCCTGTTCTCAACACAGGAGCCAGAGATATCCTGTTGACATACCAATCAAGTAGATTCACTCCCCTGCTCAAAACCTTTCATATTAGCCAGGTTAAGTATGTCATATTAACAAACAAACCCTGAAATCCCAGTAATAGTGATTACTTCCACTTTATTATTTTTATAAAGATTATTTTAGCTATTCTAGGGCCTATGCATTTCAATATAAATTTTTAGATTAGCTTGTCTATGTCAACAAAACAAAGTTTTAGGCCTTTGATAGAAATTGCATTAATCCTATAAATCAATTGGGAGAGAGTTGATCTCTTTGCTACATGGAGTCTTCTGATTTATGAACGTGGTATGTCTCTGTTTATTTAAGTTCTTTGATTTCTTCCATCAGTATTTTGTAGTTTTCAGGATACAAATTCTGTCTATGTTTTATTTGATTTACACCTACGTATTTTGTTTTTTGAGAGACTAAAAATGGAATTGTATTTTTAATTTCAGTGTCCAAGTGTTTATTGCCAGTATATAGAAATACAATTGATTTTTATAGGTTATCCTGTATCCTGAGAACTTAATGGAATCATGGAATCGTGTCTTTGTACTAGGAGTTTTCTTTCTTTTATTTTTGGTAGATTCCTGGAATTTTCTATGTAGATAATCATGTCATCTCTCCAAAAAGGGACAGTTTTATTTCTTTCTTTGTGATCTGTATGACTTTTATTTCCTTTCTTACCTTATTGCACTGGCTAGAACTTCCAGTACTGTGTTGATTAAGAGTGATGAGAGAAGACATTCTTGCCTTGTTCTTGATCTTAGTGGGAAAAACATTCAGTCTTTCACTATTAAGCATGATGTTAGCTGTAGGGTTTTTTTTTTTTTTTTTTTTGGTGAGGAAGATCAGCCCTGAGCCAACATCTGCACCAATCCTCCTCTTTTTTGCTGAGGAAGACTGGCTCTGAGCTAACATCTGTGTCCATCTTCCTCCACTTTATGTGGGACGCCACAGCAGCATGGCCTAGACAAGCGGTGCATCGGTGCCCGCCCAGGATAGGAACCCGGGCTGCCAGCAGTGGAGCGCGCGCACTTAATCACTATGCCACAGGGCCTGCCCCAGCTGTAGGTTTTTTAAGATGTTCTTTATCAAGTTGATGTAATTTTCCTCTATTTTTAACTTGCTGAGAGTTTTTATCAGATATGGGTGTTGGATTTTGTTAAATACTTTTCTGTGTCAATTGATATTATTCCATGATTTTTATTCCTTTTTTTTTTTTTTCTTTAACTTGTTGATATAGTGCATGACATTGATCGATGTTTTTAAGGCTGAACTAATCTTTTAGAGCTGGAATAATTACCACTTGATCAAGGTGTACATCCTTTTTATACTTAGTTGTATTTGACTGTTAATATTTGACTGTTAATAATTTTGACTGTTGAGAATTTTTGCATCTAAGTTTATAACAGATATTGGTTTATAGTTTTCTCTCACTTTCTTTTATAAAGCCTTTTTCTGGTTTTGTTATCAGGGTAATATTGTCTTCAGATGAATTGAAAATTTCCTCCTCTCATATTATCTGGAAGAGATTGTACAAAATTCATCTTAATTCTTTTTAAAATGTTTAATATAATTTTGAAATGAAATCTTGTGGGCTTCTCCTGACTACTTTTTCAGAAACTTTTAAATTACAAATTCAGTTTCTTTAATGGTAATAATAATACTGAGATTGCCTATTTCATCTTGGTTGAGTTTCGATAGTTTGTGGGTTTTGAGGAAATGGTCCATTTCTTCTAAATTGTCAGATTTATGAGTGTAGATTTGTTTGTAGTGTTCTCTTATTACCTTTTTGATGGCTATAAAATCTGTACTCATATATCCTATTACTTCCTAAAAATTGGTGATGTATATCTTCTCTCTTTTTGTGTTTGTCAGTCTTGCTAGAGATTTACCAATTTCATTGATTTTTTGAAGAAGCATGTTTCTGTTTTATTCTTTTTTTTTTTGTTATCCTATGTTCAATATCATTAATGTCTGCATGTATTGTTACTCTATACGTCTTTCTGCTTCTTTGAATTTATTTCCTCCTTTTATTTTAAATTTCTTGATGGAAAAGTTTGGATTATTGATTTGAGACCCTTTCTTGTTTCTATTCTAAGCTCCTAGTGCTATAAATGTCCTTTTCAGCACTGTTGCTGCATTCTACATATTTTGATATGTTGTTTCTTCATTTTCATTCCATTCTATGTATTTCTATTTCTTTTGACACTTCCTCTTTGACCCTTGAATTATTTACAAGTGTGTTGCTTAATTTCCATGTGTATGAAGATTTTCCTTTGTCTTTCTATCATGATTTCTACTTTGATTTCATTATGGTGGGAGAACACAATCTTTATTATTTTAATTTTGTTAAGAGTTGTTTTATGTCCCAGGATGTGGTCTGTCTTGGTGAACGTTCCATGTACACTTGACTAAGAAGTATATTCTGCTGTTGGGTGGAGTGTTCTATAGATTTCAGTTATATCTTGTTGATTAGTTGTGTTGTTTAGGTCTTCTCTATTCTTGCTGATTTGTAGTCTAATAGTTCTATCAGTTGGTGAGAACAGGGAGTTGAAGTCCCCCAACTATAATTGTGGATTTGTCTATGTCCCTTTTCAGCTCTATCAATTTTTGCTTCACATATTTTATGTTTTCTGTTCTTTATATTCTATTTTCACACATATTGTGTTGTTTGGTACATATACATTTAGGATTATTATGTCTTCCTGGTGGAATGATCATTTTATCATTTGAGTAATGTCCCTCTTTTCTCTAGTATTTGTCTTTGCTCTGAAGTCTATTTTATCTGGTATTAATATAATCACTCCTGATTTTTTTAAACTAATATTTGTACAATATATCTTTTCTAATTCTTTTAGTTTCAACCTATGTATGTCATTAAATTAGAAGTGAGTGTTTTTCAGCATATAGTTGAGTCATGTTTCTTTATATGCTATGGCAATTTCTGTTTTTTGATTGTTAAATTTAGACTGTTTATATTTAAGATAATTATTGATATATTAGGGCTTACGTCTGCCACTTTATTGTTTTCTGTGGGTCATCCCTGTTTCTCTTTTCTTTCCTTCTGTGGATTATTGAATATTTTTTAGGATTTTACTTGATTTATTTATAGGGTTTTTGAGTGTATCTCTTTGCACTGTTTCCATAGTGGCTGCTCTGGGTATTACAATGTACTTAAATGACTTATCACAGTTTTCTGGTACCAACATTTTACCAATTTGAGTGAAATGTGTAAAACTTACCTCCATTTAGTATCCTTTATTTTCCTCACTTTTAAATATTATTTTTTTGAGTATCATATTGTGCTATAACTCTTCTTTCAATCATCAAACATGATTTTTAAAATTCATGAAGGAAAGGATAGTCTATTGTATGTCTCTATATTTCTGTTCTTTCTGTTAGTCCTTCTTCCTTTCCAGCACTCCAAGATTCTTTCTTGTATCATTTCCTTTGTATTGAAGAACTTCCTTTAGCTTATCTTCAAGGGTAGGTGTTCTAATGACAAATTATTTTAGTTTTCCTCTAAGTATATCTTTACTTCCTTGTCATTCTTGAAGGATAGCTTTGCTAGATATAGGATTCACTCTTGAAATTTCTTTTCTTTCAGCACTTGAAAAATGTTGAGCCACTTCCTTCTGTCTTCCATGGTTTCAGATGGGAAATCCACTCTCATTTGAAGTGGTGTTTTCCTATAGTTGATGCATCATTTTCCTTTAGCTGCTTTCAAGACTTTGTCTTTGTCTTTAGTTCTCGTTATTTTAATTAGTATGTAACTTGGCATGGATTTCTTTGGATTTATTCTGTTTTAGGTTATTCTGCTTCTTAAATCTGTAGATTTGGATGAGTGGATGGATAGGTAGATGAATAGATGCCTTAAAATACTTGTCAGATAATTCCAACGTGTGGTTTATCTTAGTGCTAGTAACGACTGATTGTCTTTTCTTATTCAAATTACGATTTTCTTGGTTCTTGGTACAAGTGATATTTTGCTGCATCCTGGACTTTTTGTCCAGGAGACTATGGGTGCTATTTAAACCTTGTGTTTTAGCAGGTAGTTACCCTGTTTAGGTTTAGCACTCAGAACTTGGCTTACTTTTGTGAGCTGTGGTTCCAATGGCAGTTTAATTTTCAGAGCCTTTGTGGTGCTATTTTTGTCTGCTTGGTTTACTTGGTACCCTTGGTGCCCTCACTGATCCCTGCTGGCCCTGCCTAAGGGGGTTGAAGGGTTTTCTCCAAGCTGGTCACTGAGTGTCTCTCAGTGGAGTACGAGAGTCTAAGGTCTGTGAAGTCACAGAAGCTTTTCAGGTTGGGCTGTTTGTTGTGGCTATATCTCTCAGGCAGGTTCTGCCTGGAATCACCCAGTACGGAAGGGGGTCTTAGGCACAAAAGGACAAAGAGACTTCCCAGACCAGACTGGAAGAGTGCAATGAGCCTGCCTGGGCTGCTTTCTTTTGCTAGGTGGTGTGGCAGGGAATGCTAGGTCTGAGTGGCCTTCTTCTGTTGGGTGGGGGATGTAAGACACTCTACCACTGTGCTGTTCCTACAGTCCTGGAGTCCCAAACCAGATCACCTTTTTCTAACCACATTTCAGAGTTCTGCTCTGGTTGTCTCTTGTTATTTCCAGGGTCTATAGTGATGCTTAGAGCAGCAGGGAGAAAAGGGTCTACATCATCCTGCCCTGGCTGTTCATCTTGTTTATTGTTTACCCTCTACTCTTACCCCAACAAAAATATAAGCTCCATGAGCTCAGGAAGGGATTCATGTCCCTTTTGCTTGTTGCTGTATCCCAAAGTGCAAGGAGTAGTGTCCGGCACTACTGAATGGATTACTAGGCAAAGCTTTCTCTGGCTAACCACACAGCAGAGAAATCACTTGCTTGCAGCTGAAGCAAAGATACTTTCAGGCACAAGACACAGTAAAAAAGAACTCCATTTTCCCTGATGCATTAACAACAAATGCTATTAGAAATACAAAAGAAAATGCCTTGCCACACCCAACCTTATACAAATTGGCCAGTAGCCATCTCTTTTGGAAAGCCCACAGATATATCAAAGTTCACTAACCATTTCTTCCAAATCTTTTCTTTGTTGTCTGATATCTATCTGAGACTTAGATGAAGGTACCCATACAGCTGAAAGAAACCAGAAATTATCCTAGATAAGATTTCCTTATCACCAACATGCAACCTGTCTCCAAGTCTTGTTGAATTTTATTGTAAATATATGGATGTAATATATGACTTTTATATCTATTTTCTGTTCTCTCTTCTCATTGCACCTTGCTGAGGTCACTGTATTTCTCTCCTGGTAAACTGCAGTGCCTCCTTTTTATCTCTGAGCCTCCTGTCTTGCTCCTCCCTGACCCACCCACCATACTGCCTCCTTGATCTTCCTCAAGTCTGCATAAGGCCTTTCATCTATACACAGCAGCCTTAAGCATAAAAATATCAACAGTTTAGTCTAGGACTGCTACTGAATACTTCAAAAGTGGTGAGTCCAAATAGAGACGCTTAATAAGTGCAAACTACACGCCAGATTTCAAAGACTTAGTAAAAAAAAAAAGTAAGGTATCTTACTAATAATTTTATATTGAAGATACATTAAAATGGTAGTATTTTGAATGTATTGTATTAAAGAAAATATATTGTTAAAATTTATTTTACCTGTTTATTTTTATTTTTTTAATGTGATATTAGAAAAATTTTTAATTACACAGTGCCCTGCAATATATTTCTCTTTCTATTCATTACATTTCTATTGGATATTCATTATATCTCCATTACTGTACAATAGAAAACCCCTCCTTTTTCTCTAATCTAGGCTCTGCCGTCTCCTATAGGATTCTTAATTCTACTTTTGCTGAATTTCTGGAAGTTCCTCACACAACATGATTTAAGTAAGTTCCTTAACTTCTCTCAGCCTCTTTCCTCATTTAAAAGTTGAGCATAATAGTAAAACCCTCCTCTTAATGTATTTACAAGTATTAAGTGAGATAATGCATGTCAAAAGTTTTGAGGAGTTTCCAGCCTCAGCACTCAACAAATATTAACTATGTTATTAAAAATGGATCTCCTGAGTTCCACTTCTGGAACTTCTGGAACAGCAGGGCAAGGAGATCTGCAGAACTGCTTCCCAGTGAAACAAGCATAACTGGTAAAAACTACTTTTTAAAAAAGTTTAAATGTCAGGAAGACTTCAGTTTCAGGTCCACCATGTAACGAGCTTGGGAGCGTCATTCCTATCCTTACTACAAGAAAAAAGCTGAACAACTTGGAAATCAATGATTTTTCTTGGAACCACCAGAGAACTGCAATTGCAGGGCAAACCACTACCCTGAAATCTGGAGAGACAGGAGAATACAGAGAGCCGGGTTCTCTTTTCCTGAAGCAGGAGCCACTGGCGCCATAAACTGGTAGGAACACTCAGTGGGTAATTTTGATGAATTGGTGGAGACCAAGTGTATTAGTCAGGGTTCTCCAGAGAAGCAGAACCAATAGGATGTATATATGTACATATATATATATATGGAGAAAGAGAGAGAGATTTTAAAGAATCAACATACACAATTGCGGAGGCTGGCAAGTCCAAAATCTGCAGGGCAGGGCTCTAGGCTGGCAATCAAGGGAACAGTTGATGTTGCAGTCTCAAGTCCAAGGCAGTCTGGAGGCAGAATTTCTTCTTGCTCAGGGGATGTCAGTCGTTTTTAATGCCTTCATCTGATTGGATGAGGCCCACCTACAACATGGAGAGTAATTTGCTTTACTCAAAGTCTGCCAATTTAAATGTTAATCTCATCTAAAAAAATACCTTCACAGCAACACCTAGATGAGTGTTTGACCAAACAACTGGGCACCATCGTCTAGCCAAGTTGATACATAAAATGAACCATCGTACTAAATATGGAATACCCTGGGAGTGAGAAACTTCAGAGGTCCCAGGCTTAGGGAAGCCACCACACATTCGTGTGTTTTACCTCCAGGAATTCCACCAGGTTCTCATTGTGAAGAATGAAGGAAGATCTCCTCAATGCTTTAGTGGGGGAAGGAAAAGTAATCTTTGGGACATACACCCAGAGTGGAATGTTCTTCATAAGAAGGGCCTACTCTCCAGGGAAAAGATTTTGGAAGAGCCTTGTCTGACCTGGGAGAAGGCACCCCCAGCCTTCCTGTCTCATGTGAGAGGGGTGGAGAGAGCTAAGAGTGACTGATGTGTCAGCGTTGCTGCTGGGCACGTGTACTTCTCTATGCTTCTTAAAGATAAACAGCAATATTTAGGATTTCAAGGATCAAAGATAATAGAGACAATTCTGATTTTCCTGTGAGCTTCAGTCATCCAACTATGTACATTTAGAACAAGCCTGACATTCAGACCCTGCAGCGGAACCCTGGCTGTAACTGCGACGAGATTCACATTGCTCGTTTTGGCCCCTGAGCAGCCTCTGAACAACCAGATGGGGCCCCTGGTCCATATCATCAGCCCCAATCCTTTGCCAGTGGATCCTTTTATTAAGTTAAAATAGGACATCGTTACTGGAATTAGAAAGGAAAATACCAGCTGCTTTTGTCCTCCAGGAAGCACTAATTAGCCAGCAGCCCCTGATCTCGGGCGACAATGGAACTTGTGCAGGCTAATTACAAGCTGGCTGCCTCCTCACTCTGGGTGGCTCAGGCTGCATCACCTGCACTTTGGAGCTGAAATATTTTTAGGATCTGGAATTTCCCCCTGGCCCTTACCTTGCTTTTGATGTCTTCATTACACATCTCCTTTTCAATAGCTTCCTCACTGGTCTCTGATTTCCAGCCAACCCATCTTGCTCAAAACAGCCAAACTCATCTCCCTAAAACACAGCTCCAGTCATAGTTTCCCTGCCCCAAATTTGTCAGCAGGATCCCCGTGCTGCATGTAAATTACAGTCCACATCCCTCCACTCGTCCCTCAAGGCTTTATATAAAGGGGCCCAAGCCACCTTTCCAGCCTCCTGTCAGCCCCTGCCTTCCGCAGCCTTTCTCCCCTAATGACAGGGGTCTGGGCTCTGGTTCCTAATCAGCACTTTCACCTCCGGGAGGCATGCGAGCCATGCGAGCCGTAAAGACAGAAACAAAAAATGCACCCTGACCAATTAAATCAGAATCTCAAGGTGTGGGAAAGGGTATTGGTAGCATTCTATAGCTTGCCAGGATATTCCACTGCTCAGACAGGCTGGAGGACCGCTGCAGGTGTGTGTGTCTTCCTGTCACAGACTCCAATGCAGCCCTTTCCATGCCTCGTCGCCATGCTGGCATTTTGCCTCCTCATCTGTTGAGACTTATATCTGATTCCCTTTAACTCTGACCCCACAGGGGAACCCGACGCCCTGCCTTCCTCATTCCCGCACTTGTCCAGTCCTGCCCACTACTGTGAGCTGTGTTCTGTCCATGCGGGGTCTTAGTTTGTTAGTTTGTTATACCCCTTTGGACACTATCTACACTGCCGTCCAGCCTGCAGCCTCAATATCCCCCCACCTTCCCTCTGCTCAGAAGTCCTCTTGGCTGAGTCTACTACAAGAAGATGCTTGTAACAGGATGCTAGAATGGAAGTTTCCTCCAAGCATCAACAAACAGCTGAATTGTGATGGCAAAGTTATGTGTCAGACCATCTCGTGCAGAATTTACATAAGAAAAATCTGACCATTTTCACACTCTCATCCCTTTGAGAATAAAATGTGAGAAAGAGAGAGAGAGCAGAGAGAGCAGAGAGGACTGGAGGGGTGTCTTCCTAGGGTGAGCACAGCTGTCATTCAGTGGATCTCCACCCCTTGCCACATGCCCAGAGGTGTCTGTGGCTCTCTCTTTCTGTCGCTGAGTAGGGAGAGGACTTCTAAGACCCCTCTGGAAGTTTGGGGCTGCGAGACACCTCCATCTGGGTCTGATGCTCCCTGGGAATCCTAGAGGCTGAGGCAGCAGCTAACAGCTCTGGTAGCAGAGGCAAGAGGGTTCACGGCCCTGGTCCAGCCCCTCTCTCAGTCTGTCAGGGGCAGGATGCTGACGTCTCTCTTGGACCAGAGTGGGGAGCAGAAGCCCCGCCGGGGACAGCTGGGAGGAGTGACTGCAGGGATGAAGAAGCATGGCACCCCCAGGGAACACAACAATGTGCCTGTCATATGAGTTAAAGCTAAAGAGGTCCCCAGGCATGGGAATCTCTCCAGAAAAACCCCTAGAAGAAAAGACTTGGCTTCCCCCACTTGTAGGTCCTCAGCAGGTGGGATGGCCCATGTGGTCAGCTGGAGCATGGGGAGGACAATGGCAGCTGGCCCAGGCAGGCCGCCTTCTCACAGGCTTCTTCCAGGCCAAGAAACACACACTCATTCAAAACCACAATCAGTCCGAAATTAAAAAGAAGAGATGAATCACCAAAAATGAAAGAAGAAAAGAAAAGAATACAAGAGAAAAGAAAAGAAATGGGGCCAGCCCCATGACGTAGTGGTTAAGTTTGGCGTGCTCCACTTCAGCGGCCTGGATTCACAGGTTTGAATGCTGGATGTGGACCTATACTGTTTGTCAGCCATGTTGTGGCGGCAACCCACATGTGAAGTGGAAGAAGATTGGCACAGATGTTAGCTCTGTGCCAATCTTTTTTTCCTCAAGGAAAAAAAAAAAACAAGAGGAGCAATTCCTCTCTTTCCTTACATTGCCTTCCAAATTCCATCTCCCCCTGGTGCAGCCCAGTGAGAGGTGGAGAGAGGGAAGGGCCCTGCCAGCTGCAGGCTTCAGCTGCAGATTGAAGTCTGGTGAACGCCTGCAGCGAAGCTCCTAACTGATGACCTAGGCAGGGTGGCCACTCCCTGGGACTGTGCAGTAAAGTCAGGGACCTGTCCAACTTCCCACGTTGACTCCGAAAGACGCTACTACCTCCACTGCATAAATCTCAAAGCGACAGTGAGTGCCTCCTCTCTGCTCTGTCTCTCAAATCTCAGGGATGCTTGGCCACCACCTCAATGCCAGCCCCTTCACGAGGTCCTCTTCTCGTCGCCAAAGCCTCACTTCACTGTTTTTCCCTCCTCAAAGAACTTTTACATTTCACCTTTTTCGTTTTGCACTTGCGTCCTGCCTGGTATCTACGTTGGTGTGCATGTTGTATTTCTCCCAGCACCCTTCATTCTAGACAGAGACTGGAGCACTGACCCACAGGAACAGCATCAGGCCAGCATTTGCTTGGCACCCATCCTGCGCCAGGCACTGGGCTGAGCCCCATGCCCACCTTGTTGCTGGATCCAAGCAACCTCTGAGGTCTGCTCTGACTATAGCCATTTTACAGATGAGAAGGCTGAGGCTTACAGAGGTTAAAAACCCCAGGAGGTAGCATGGGCAGGATTCCAATGGATAGTCTGTTCATTGGAGCACCTGGCACTTCGTGGGGCTCTGTGACAGTTTGTTGAGTGAGTAAATGTTGTCTGGCTCCCAGTCTTCACCAGTTAAAGGAACATGCAAGAGTTTCTTCTAGCACCAATTGGTTGCATATTTTATAAAAATAAGCAACCATTTAAATTTATTTCTGAGCCCCACCTATATCAGAAATAAACTAACATAAGGTTATTGTGCCACCTCTTCCAAAAACTTAATTTTAATTTCTTTAAAATGTTGATTTGGCATTGACATTACGGTTTTACGCCCAAGTATTTTCTATCCATTTATGACCAGGTGGATTAAATACTGCCTTTCAAATTTTGGCGTGTAAAACAATCTCTTGGGGATCTTGTTAAAATATAGGTTCTGACTCAGTGATTCAGGAGTGGGACCTGAAAGGCAGCATTTCCTGCAAGCTCCCAGGGGGTGCCCCACACTGCTGGTTTGAGGAAAACGCTTTGAGAAGCAAGAGATTAAACTCTACCTAGAGTTTGACTCACTTTATTTGTAGAAATAAAGTATAAGTTAAATGATCCTTACCTCAAGTGACGAGGGCTGTCTATCTGTAGACAGAGAGGACTGTTAGAGGTTGAATTGTGTGCCCCAAGAATTCAGATGTTGAAGTCTTAAGCCCCAGTACCTCAGAATGTGACCTTATTTGGGAAATACGGTCGCTACATATGTAATTAGTTAAGTTAAGATAAGGTCAAACTGGAACAGAGTGGACCCGAATCCAATATGACTGCTCTACTTATCAAAAGGGGAAAAGTGGACACAGAGGAGACATGCACACAGGGAGGATGCCACGGGAAGACACAGGCAGGGATCAGGGTGATGCATCCACGAGACGAGGAGCTCCAAAAGCTGCCAGCAAACCACCAGAAGCTAGGAGAGAGGCCTGAAACAGACGCTCCCTCACAGCTCCCAGAAGGAATCAACTGTTTATTTCAGACTACTGGCCTCTAGACTATAAATTTCTGGGTGGTTTGAGCCCCCAGTTTCTGGTGAACTCACACAAGTTTGATGCATTTTCACACTACAACAATATGCCAAATTCCCCAGGGAAAGGAGGACTGGGATCTCCTTGCCTCACTTCTTTAATTAGAAGCTTAGCGTGAAGGAGCAGGGGCACGTGTATCTTTTCAGTCGACGGTAGTATATGGAGCATTATTCACTATCCTTAATCAATACCCCCCTTGTCACCTTTACTTTTAATTAACTTTGCTCGAGTCTGCTCCCTTCCAGACCGGTCACCATCGTTCCTGTCCAGGGGTCACAGCACGCACTGCTCACTGGCCTGTGGCACTGCTGTCTCTCCTTTCACGGGGTAAAATTGCACCTCTCCTCACATGCCTCAAAGCCCCCTAGTTCTTCCCTCCATAGTCTTCTCCCCACGCAGGCTTCTTTGGCTGACTGTGTGCGTGTTTCACTCTTGGTTTACACCCTCTCATGTTCATCACAGTCTCCCAGGGGCTGTCTCAACTCTCTCTGACAGGTACCATTCTGAAGATGACCCCCAAGATTCTCTCCCCTGGTTATTCAATCCGATGCTAATCTAAGGGCTGCCGTGAAGGGATATTCTAGATGTAATTATTATCCCAAGTCAGTTGACCTTAAATTATGTTACAGATGTTATCGGCGAGCTTGACCCAATCAGACAAGCCGTTTAAAAGCAGGGTGTTTTCTCAAGCTGGCAGCAGGAGTGGAAGCCAGCTTCCAAGCATGAGAAAGATTCAACATGCCATTGCTGGCTTGAAAGTTTGGGGAGGTGGGTGGTGCACTTGCCAAGGAATGCGGGTGGCTTCCAGAGGCTGAGAGCAGCCCCTGGTGGCAGCCCACAAGGAAATGGAGACCTCAGCCTTGCAGCGACAAGCACCTGACTTCTGCTACCAACTTGGATGAGCTTAAACGCAGATTCTCCCCAGTAACCAGATACAAGCCCTGCCCAGACAACACCTTGGTTTACATTCAAGGGACCAAGAGCAGAGAACCCAGATGAGCCCTACAGAGCTCTGAGATAACGAATGGGTGTTATTTTAAGTTGCATTTGTTAATTTGTTACACAGCAATCAACAACTAATACACTCCCCAACCTGACAAAGCCTCAGAGGGCATTGACTGTTTCCTCCCCTGCCCCCAACAGCACAGGCAGAGCTGAGCCCCTCGCAGGACCTTTTCCCTCACTGATGGAGCTCCCCAATAATCTGTTCCGCTGCATGCTGACGGGAGCTAGGTTGCTATGGTTTTCCTGCGTTTGCTGTTGAAAACCTACCACACAGCCAGATACCCGCAACGCTTTCTGTAACAGGGTCTCCCGTCAGCTGAAAATAAGCGAGACCCTGTGAATGTCTATAATTTGAAAATAGCTCAGCTGCAGTCAAATTAAATGACTTTAATAATTAAAATCAACTCCCGGATGTGAAAATAAATCTGAGTGGAAGAAAAACAATAACTGAAGAAAATCACCTTCCTGCTGCTAAAATCAAAGCTCGTCTGCTGACTTTCCTATGGCTCTATGCTCCCTCCCATACAATAAGAATGTTACTGTGTTGACATGGGCACCAGTGGAAAAATCAACTAGTTCAGTCAGTTGATGGAGGATCTACCTCCCTGTCGTGATTGACAAACAAGGTATCCCAGGCCCCCACCCTCTGTTGCGGAGCACACGTGTCCAGGGCTGCAGATTGGCAGGCCCTGAGGTGGGGGGAGAGGTCCCCAGGGGATGCGTTGCTACATCCAGACTGCATACGTAAGGTGCCGTTCCCACCACGTCATGTCAAGCGCACGTACTATCAACATGACTCATCACTGTTGATGTTGACCTTGATCACCTGCTGAGGGCGAGTTGGTCAGGTTTCCCCACTGGAAAGTTATGCTCCCCCCTTCTCATAATGTACTCTTTGGAAGGAAGTCACTTTGGATGGAAGCCCACAATTCAGGGCTGGGGAGCTATGCTCCACCTCTTTAAGGGCAGAATATCTGCATAAGTTATTTGGAATTATTTTGCATAGAGATTTATCTATTCTCTTCTGCTTATTTATGTATTCAGTCATTTCTTTGTATCAGTATGGACTCATGGATATTTATTTTACACCCAGATTATGATCCAGTATGATGCCATTTATTTTGTTGCTTAAATTGTTTCAGCTTTGACCGTTGAGAGCTCTCTCACTTGGCTTCTGTGTCCCTTTGACAAACTCATCCTTTGGGTTTTTGAGCACTACAAAACGTTCCAGGCTCATCGTATATCTTCCCTGCACCAAACCTACAATCAGCCACTTCTCCGAGGAGCCTTGATTCCTTTAATTGGAGAATGATAAGAGAAACTAGTATCTGGGCACTGGGTGTGCTTGCTGCTCCCGGGCTACAGCATTTTGCAGCAATGTTGCTCCATTCAAAACGTTAAGAATATTCTTCCAAATATTATTTGTTCTTGATAAATTCAAAATAGAAAAGATGAATTTACCTAAAGTTCTTTTTTTTCTTCTTTTTTTTTTTTTTTGGTGAGGAAGATTGTCGCTGAGCTAACATCTGTGCCAGTCGTCCTCTTTTTGTTTGAGGAAGGTTGTCGCTGAGCTAACATCTGTGCCAGTCTTCCTCTATTTTGTGTGTGGGTTGCCACCACAGAATGGCTTGATGAGTGGTGTAGGTCCACGCCCAGGATCCGAACCTGCAAGCCCTGCAGGTTTGGAAGCAGAGAATGCCAAACTTAACCACTATGCCACCAGGCCGGCCCTTACCTCATGTCTTTTAGAACTTATTTAGGTTTTCCAACATTTACTACTTCTTTAATAAGATAATTTTTCTCTTGTTTTGCAAACCAAGAGTACTATTCACCTCTTCTAAGCACATACATGAAGTTCCAAAGACATGGTTGAAGTCTGATTTTTGCTTTCACAAAGTGCAGTCTTTTTTCTTCTTCTTATTTATCACCTGATCTAAAAGTGATTCAGTATCTTCCTTCTAACAAGTGTCTTCATCATAGTGATTACTTCAGTTTCCTTCATTTGAGCAGATTCTAGCCCTGCTGGACTTTCTTGTTGTCCAGGAACTAGAACTTCAGGCAATTGTACACTCAAGGTGTAAGATACATCATGATTTGGCGCATGAGTAAGGTAATGCTTTCTGGACTGTTTCCAGTCCTTCCTGGTGAATCAGAACATTTGGCTGACCTTTCTGGTAGCATTAGCCCACATTTCAGTAATGTCTTCAGTAAATGGTCTGTAGTGAATCTGAGGTCCATTTCCTGGGTCCTACCTGAAAGCTCAGAGCTTGGAATCTAATGAAAATAGCTTAAGCTTCTTTTTCTTTTTCTAGATGTGTTATTTTGCTCTCGCACACATTATTATATTTCATCTGCCACTTTCTTGCAGCCTTGCTAGACTAAATTACTTCCAAGATTGTATTTAATCACTGGCTCTACCTGAGGTGATGCTATTTGTGCAGTATCAGAAATAGACCTGC